ATAAATAATTCATAATTAGAGCTAGGTAGAATCCGTTAACCTCTCTAATTATATCTTTATCCTTGAGTACCATTGATTCTCTAATGGACAGTGATTCATAAAACACATTCATGAATCAGAGCTCCTACTGGTCCAAGTACCGAATCAACCTTCAAGAGAATTATTTATCTACTTCTTTCTTAAGAAGGAATGGATTCCATCTCGTGTAATAACATTCCCGGCTATCTACTTCATCATGTCTCCAAAATACAAGGAATAGGATTCAGGATCTCAGAATCCGTACTGAGTAAATCAAAAGACACAAATCCATAAATAGGAGTCTGTTAAGAACTCAGGATTAAGATCATTATATATATGACCATCGGTAGACTCAATTAGAATTTCTATACTTAACGGAAATTATTAGAAATTCATATTGTATATGTGTCATTGTTCCACATAATCTCATTATGCGAAATACACTCATTCAATATCTCACCATATTAACAGTGCAGATAACACCGTTCCATTCTAAATGGGAATGACATGTATTAATAATTTTTTAATTAAATATTCTGAACTTTAATTAAATTCATTATGAACATTGCTTTTTGATTATTATCCTTAAACATTATCCTCTCGTATATAACACTTATATACAATATTGTTTAAGGTTACATAAATAATCACGGAATTTTCATTGATATTCATAAAATATTCACAAATATATACAAATAAAATGATGAATAAACTCTTTTATTAAATAAATAATAAATATCCTATTACATCTTATGCTTCTAGGACACCATTCTCAACAAAAATACTGTAGCAAAAATATTTAAATAGTAATTTAAACATATAAAACAAAAGAGGGCAAAATCAGAATTCATACTCCCCTTAAATTCAAACCATCTAAATAGTTTTGCTATTGTGAAGCAACTCACTTTTTGGTTTTTCTTTCTTCAACTTTAAGCTTAAAATGTCATGAATTATTCGTTTCAACTTCAATTGAGATTATTTTTCTTATATGTTCATAATGAAAAGATGAACAAATCTCCATCTATATTCATATTTAAATATGTCATGTACAATGAGGTTTTATAAGTTTTGTTACAAAACTCTAATGACAATTTTAAACACTCTATTAAATACAATTCAAATTTTATTCCTAATTTAAATTATAATTTATTTACATATTAAAATATTGATTTAATCATAATTAAAATTACTACAATCTAAATTCTACATTTTAAACCAAAAAGGTTTAAATCACCACAATTCGAGTGGTTGAACCAAAACACTTTTCTCACTCTCTCGTTGATCCACTAGTTGCTGAAGCCCAGATGAAATTTATAGACCCAAAGCTAAAGGCCCAATCCAACGTATTCTCTCAATCTGATCCAGTTATTTCCGCGCCGCAAATTGCGAGTCCAGAGGAATCTCGACCGCCACGTGTCAGCTCACCATCCCTCAACAATCTCCCAACTCAAGTCAGAACCGCCACAGCCAAAGCTCAAAACCTTATACCCTAATAGATACCCAAATTTCGCTCTAATCCTATTCTCTCCAAACTTTCTGAAATCTCGCGAAAGGAAGATAAAAAAATGTTGAGGCTGACTTCGAAGAGGATCCTCCAGGGGATAGCGTCACGGGAGGCGCGGTCACCGGCGGTCCAGGTGCTGCAGCGTCAGTACCACGAGCGGGTCATCGACCACTTCAACAACCCCCGCAACGTCGGCTCCTTCGACAAGAACGACCCCGACGTCGGCACCGGCCTCGTCGGCGCTCCGGCCTGCGGAGACGTCATGAAGCTCCAGATCAAGGTCGATGAGTCCACCGGCCAGATCGTCGACGCCCGCTTCAAGACCTTCGGCTGTGGATCCGCCATCGCTTCTTCTTCGTTAGGTCGGTTCGTTTCTGATTGATGGGGATTTTGGGTTAGGGGACAATTTTCAATGTTTTGGAAGCTTTAGGGAAAACGAAATCGTAATTTAGAGATTAAATTGAATGAATTATTTTGTTGTTTATTGAATTTGGCGAGTGAAATGGAAAGACTTCGATGAAACCTATGTTGTTTTGGATTGTGGAAGGTTTTGAAAACTGGATATATTTTCATGGATTGGTGAAATAGGGGGAAATTTTAAAATTTTTGGACGCTACAGGGACATAAATACTATGCTTTTTTTTTTTTATTCTGGTTGAGGTATAATATGTTATAATTGATTGGAACGGAATTGTAAATTACGGGATTTTTTGGGTTTTGTTATTGGATTCGATGATTTATTAGTTGTTTATTGACTCTGACATGTGAAATTGAAAGACTTCGATGAAACCTATCTTGTTTTGGATTGTGGAAGTTTAAAAACAGGATTATTTCATGTATTAGTGTAATAGGGGGAAAATTTAAAAGGTTTTGGAAGCTCCGGGAACATTATTTTTTCCCGGTTGGTTTTGGTTGGTTCGAAGTTGTAGTTAAGATTTGAGATATAATATGCCATAATTGATGGGGAAGAATGGTTATTTAGGGTTCTCGTTATTAGAATTCGATGTTGAATCAGTTTATTGGATTTGATGGGTGAAATGGAAAGACTTCGATTCGATGAAACCATTTTGGATTAAAGAATTTTTAATAGCCTCTTGCTTGTTGTATTTGTTTATCTGTTTTAGGTTTTTGGGTGAGGGTCTTGTTTGGTTTTTATTAATAAGTTTGAATGAAATATGAAGATTGAAGAAAATCTAATGGGTCTTTTGATTAGCGTTTTTTAAAATAATGAAGATAAGTTTGCTGAGGAATATAAATGGTTGGATTTTTTTGCGTAATTTTTTATGGTAGAGGAATAGTTGATTAGTTTTGGAACAAACTACAAAGTGAAAGTATAGTAATCTTATAGCAAAGGAACAAGTATAGTTTTTGGAAGGTTGGTTCTTTTACTTGTGATAAAAGCTAAGAATATGATCTTTCCATAACAATTCAGCAAAAGAAGTTTCATGTTTTCTATAATCTAAAGTTATATGTATGTCTTCAATGCCCGCCCTGTCTACTTCACTTCCTAACCACGTGCGTCAAGCATCACGTTTTTATGCAACTTCCTTGTCGAAAGAAAACAAAGAGGGCTACGTAAAGAATTAAACTTTGCTTTTCTATCTACATGGACGTTGTTGAGTTCCAAGTTGTATTGAAGTTACGATAAGTTGCTTCTTGATGTAAGCTGTGTAATATTATGTATCTCATTCGTGGGACTTTTTTCTTGTTTCAGCTACTGAATGGGTGAAGGGCAAACAAATGGAGGAAGTCTTGACCATTAAAAACTCGTAAGTTTCTGCTAAATGCTTGTATCTATTTTTTTAAAAGCCCATAATGCATATTTTCTCGGTCATTCTGTTCTGTAGAATCCAATCATATTTATATTTTTTTCTCACTATTTTATAGTTCCATTTTGTTACAACTACAGTAGCTTATAAATTGGGTATCTTTTCACTTATTTGTATATAAAAAATAGATAAATGTGTCATGTGTGTGTGTGTCCCGCAAAACACAATGAGGAATGAGAAGTCGTATGTGCACAGATATATAATCTTGTTTTGAAGATCACTTAAAAAAAAAAAAAAAAAAAAGACCATAAGTGAAAACCTAAGGATTTAAAAAGGAGCATTTATCATCTTGGGAACACCTCAGCTAAAAGCTAACCAAATTTTCTTCTTTCCTTGTAATTACACCAACTCTGTTCTGTTGAATACTTGCATATACCAACTGCTCAAACAAGTTTAATTCATTTCTGATGGACACTTAACCAAGTGATGCATCACATTGTGCTTACAGTTTACTCTTGGTTTTCTGTAGGGACATCGCAAAGCATCTTTCACTCCCTCCGGTTAAGCTACACTGCAGCATGCTTGCCGAGGATGCCATCAAAGCGGCTGTCAAAGACTATGAAGCTAAACGTGGGAAACCTATCGAGGCTAAAGATGCTTGATTTTGGCCTTGTGTAAAAAATGACGATGAAAACATCTGGTGTTGGACATAGTTACCTTTAAGTTACCTAGTACTTGCAATAAGGATTGTGGTTTGTTAGGGCCTTCTGAGTAGGCTTTCTTTGATGTATGTTTTTCAGAGGGGAAAACTGAGATGAAAAGAAAGCCCTTTAATCATATTGTAATTAGATTTGATTTCTTGTTAATCTTATGAATGTTTTGTTGCAGTATTCCTGGTCGAATCATGAATGTTTAATTGGAATTTGATTTTGGCAGTTATCCAACTAAAACAGATGGAGTTCATTTCTTTTGAGTGGGAACATAAAACGCAAAAGGGTATCCTATGGAATTTACAAAAGTTGTATTGGAGTTGAGATATGTCAATAGAAGAATCATGTGTTGAATGGGTTCAAGCTTTTGTATCTGCAGGATTTAAGACCAGTGAATACGAGATGAACTTCTTTCTCTACTAAAAATTCATTTTCAATTCCTTTTAGGGGATTTCTCTTATAAGATTAAAAAAAATAATTATATTAAAAATTATCTATTTTACATATTTTTTTAATTTAATATGATTTTAATTAGATAAAACAGTCAAAAATAATTGTACTGATAGAAAAGCTCTGCTCGAGAGAGTCCTTTCTAATTATTATCTCAAAATAAAAATAAAAATATAACGGTGGAATTTCGTCAATAAGATCTTACCGCATTACCTCACAGTAGCCCGTTGGGTTACCGGTTTGGAACTTATGATTTCACTGAATATATTGAATTTTGTAGTAGGGTTTTTTGCTAGGTTGTGAAATAAGTGAGATTATGCTTATGAAAGTAAGAACACATAGAAATTTTATAATGGTTCACACTGTTAATCAAGAACTACATCCACTGTATTGTATTTCTCTTGACTTTGCTTTTACAAATTACATGCACGTAAGGAAAAATTTTTCCTCCCTCCCCACTCTCTCGGGGGCTCTTTCCTTTTATAATGGATATTGCTTGAGTCTTTGCCCAATGGTAGGCAGTTTGGACCATTGGACCGAGTCCTTCATGGGGCCCACCAACTCGAGTGGCCTATGGCCTCTTTTGTACAGACCGTAGCCTGTCATTACATTTTGGACTGTTCACTCATCCAATTTGTCCCCCCATTACGGCTTTGCAGATCCCTGTAATAGCTAGTGATCTGTTCCAGGCGGTTTTAGGGGCTTGTAATCATTTCTTATGCAACTGACCTTCTCTAAATCCAGACGCAACCTTCTCAGGGGTCTTCCTTGGGACGCGGATCCAATTGCTTTCGGTTTGCCGTCTATACCTATGCTGACCTTTGCCGAGGGTATCTTCTCTCACGGCCGACTTCATCACGTCATTTTGCCCAGACTGGTCTCGCAGACCTTGACTGTGTATAGGGTCGACAGTTCCGGTCTCCTTATACATTCGGCTCTCCTGTCATACAGGAGAGACCAATGAGGCTCGGGCGTCGAGGGCAAATGACGTGGCAGGCATGGGGCCACGTGTGGCCTGATCGTTGTCCGACGCGTCGATGTGAATTTTTCCACACAACAGCTGCCCCCCAGGTCGAGGCTTTTCTTCGGACTGCCTCGAGCTAGGTCTGGGGTTTTGGGAGCCTAACTCTGAACCTTTTTCGTAATGATGGTCCTGGCGCTTCGAAACCCCTCGAGAAGCACAAACGTCGCATTTGTTCAATCGCCATGCTGACATGGCCTCTCATTTGAATGGATGAACCTGGGCCCCTAGATCGCGACATCTTAACCTCCCGCCCTTCCCCCAGCCGTTGGATCAAACTCCCGTGCCCCCATCATTAGATGCGAACGTATCTGATCAAATGGCTGGGGGTCGAGGCCCTTGAGTTAATATAAAGGGCCTCTTCATGTCCGAATCACTCAAAAACACCTTGAAGCAGCCAAAACTCTGTCAAAATTTCTCTAGGACCGTTTCCTTCTTGCCATTTCGCGGACCACCAGCAGCATTCTTCTCAAGAACTCGTGCACCTCTCCTGCTCCTGATTCCCTGGTAAGCATCTTCTCAAACTCCCTTTCCACTCATTTCATTTATCGTGTCTGGAATACGGTGGATTATTTTTTAAGCGGTGGGAATAGTTAGGTATGGTACGATAGGAGAGGTTGGAACCTGTATTTGGTAGTGTCCGCCATGTCTTGGACTGGCCATAGGCGTTTTGAGTGATTCGGGGTTTCTGTTTGGCATTCTGGGTTAGTTTGAATGGTCGTCGCTTTGCTTGAGTAGTCTTCGGTTCAGTTCATGCCCAGGCTTAAACCGTCGTCGCTTTAACCCTAATTTTAACCGATAAGACGTCTCAATTTTTAAGCATCGAACCATCTTTCCTTCCCTTCTCGACTTATAGGAACTGACCTTAGATTTTTCCTTTACAGTAATGGCTTATAGAGGGATAAAACGTCGAGGGGGATCATCTTCCATGCCTCTCATGTGGCCGGATCCAACGCCAGCCGCTGAGTCTCCATCCTACTCTGCTGCCAGCGATTCACTCCGGATGGAGGTCGAGCGCTGCGTTCCTGACCCACGTGACGATGAGGACAGCGTCAATCGCCTGGTCGAAGGCGAGGATGACTCTTCCAACAGTACCAGCTCCTTGGTGGGAGGCGTCATGTTCGGCAGTAGCGACCAACTCACAGGTGTCCCTATGGCCTCGGTAGAGACAGACGAGGATCAGCCGTCCTTCACTGCCGACTTCATCGTACCGAAGACGCGGAAGAGGGACATTATCCGCGCATACAAGAAGGGGCGCATGGACGGTCGGTGGTTCAAGTATCTCCTACCGTATCCCCACTTCAGGGGGAGCCAACCACCCCTGAGCTACATGTCCGTATACACTTGGGCCCTCACGGCGAGGATGACACTCCCCATACATCCATTTGTCAAGTCCCTATGTGACTTCCATGGCATCTCCCCCACACAACTGGCCCCGAATTTTTGGTATATTTTCGTCTGTATGTGGATTTTTTAGGACCAAAGGTTTGATGTAGATCTGCCTCTGGATGAGTTCATATTTGTATATAAACTATGCCAGACCCCTAGGTGTGATGGCTGGTATTTTTGGGCAGTCACGGGCGATCCCAGCCCATTTTAGAAAAATTAATATTGGGGTTACCCTTATCGTCATATGCCTGGAAGCCAATGTTTTTTATGGTGAAGGGCATGTTCGACGTTCACCCAGATGACCCGCCCTTTAAGCGCCGAGGTGTGAGTACATCTTTTGGGACGCTGAGTGAGTTTCCTTCGACCGTCTATTTACAGTTATCGCCTGTTCTTCTATCATATACCGCTGACCCTTTTTGCTCTGCGTGTCCTTAGAACCATCCCTAACTTTCTGGGAATCACCTCGCATGGGTGAAGAAAGCCTTCGACTTCCCAGAGTCCTTCCGTCACGTCAGCACCTTGCTAACACGTGACAACTTGGAGAGTTCTGGTTTGTTGCTTTCCCTTCCTTCCCCTGACAACACCGCCGAGGTCAAAGATTTCTTCAACCTCACATCCGGAGGTTAGTTGCAGTTTTTTTTAACGTGTCGTCGGTATGTATTTCTGACTTTGGCTGTGACGTAGATATGAAGAAATTGCAACCGCCCGTGCCTGGCGAGAAGAGGCGTTCCAAGAAGCTTAAGCCAAGCGAGCAGCCAAGCGACCTTGCTGCAGCCAATGTCCCGCCGAGGCCCTCACGTACAGCCGAGCCTTCATCTTCCCAGGACACTCCACGACCAAAGTGGCCTTGACCGACTGAGACGTCGGTGGTGGAGGCCGAGCCTTTGCCGGTAATTGATATTACCAATGCTCCCAAGGCCCCTCCGCCCCAAGAACGTCTGCTGTATTGCTCCGGCCCAGATTGAAGCGGCACTGAATCTGCCACCGCGCTTTTTCGTCGTCTTCCGGGCCCTGTACGAGTCATTCTTTGAGCAGGATTGGGATAGCGCAACCTGGGCTTCCTTGATTGGTCGTACTTGCCAGTAGATTTCTCTCCAGATCCATGTATACTTCGCCGCCTATGTGTCACATTTTTGTCTTTCTTTTTCCCTTATTAATATATTTTTTTTGATTTGGCAGTCTCTCGTCCTCTCTCTTCTTAATTTTCTGGATATAGTTAAGGTGGAAGAGAGAAGTAGGGGAATGGACCGCGTCGAGGGGCGTTTGAAGGCTCTCCTGAAAAAGGAAAGAGACAGTAACGAGGAGACTTCAAAGAAGCTTACCCGCGTCTCCTAGGAGCTGGAGGAAGCAAAAGCGGATCGGGAGCGTGCCCGGAAGGAGACTGAACTCATCCGCAAGGAGGCTGTCGACTCCAAGAATGCCTTCTGAAAGGAGGGATACAACCTTGGTAAGCAAGAGGGCTACGACCTGGGCAAGGCAGAGAGGGTTAAAGAGTTTGTTGCTTCCGCCGAGTTCACTCAAAATAATGCGGTCATCGCTGCTAGGGCCGTCGAGGATTTTAAAGCCTCCGAAGAGTTACACGATATGTGTGCTAGTGACATACTGTTTGTTGGCGAGTAGATCGTGGCAAGGATTAACAGGCATCTGCCTGGCCTCGACCTGGACTTCCTCTATGAGCCCCCTTCAGACGACGAAGGTTCTCCTGCCGAAGGTGGGGGCGACGAAGGCAGCGGCGGAGCTGAGGTGGCGGCAGCTGATGGCGGCGAGGGCAGCCAAGGTGGTGGAGGCGATGAGGCCTAGGCTACTGGGAGTTGAATTATAACCTCTTTTTTGTAATATTGTTTCACTATTCAGACAATAGATTATATATATATATTATCTATATTTTGGTTGTATACATCTAATTGCCTTTATTTTTTAAGTCTTGCTACAATTCTGCTAAGCAAACCGCCTCTCCTCCTTGGAGGGGGTGATGTCTCATTCTACCCCTTAGGGTCGTCGTTTAAGCAAATTTCTTAAAATTTGCTAAGTGAATCATCTCTCCTCTTTGAGGAGACGACGCTTTATTTTGCCCCTTAGGGTCATCGTCTTGGCAAATTCCTTAAAATTTGCTAAGTAAATCGTATATCCTCTTTGAGGAAGCGACGTTTTATTTTGCCCCTTAAGGTCATCGTCTTAGCAAATTCCTTAAAATTTGCTAAGCAAATCGTCTCTCCTCTTTGAGGAGGCGACGTTTTATTTTGCCCCTTAGGGTCATCGTCTTGGCAAATTCCTTAAAATTTGCTAAGTAAATTGTCTCTCCTCTTTGAGGAGGCGACGTTTTATTTGGTGTATGCATGTTTTTTGTGAACCGTAGACCCTTTACTCCCCCTATGTATGT